CATTCATGCTGAGAGCTTGATTCATTTGTGTATATAAATTTTTAGGAACGTCAAAATTATTAAGACTTAGGTGATGTACTCCTGATACCATTTTTCCTCCTCACTAGTTTGAGGCTCTTCTTCAACTCATTCTGAAAGATAGCAAGTTCCCTTGTCCCCCTGCATCTGTAAAGCCAGAAATTCTAAAATCTAGAAGCTAAATATCTCCCAGATTCGTTGCCTTCTGGTGTGGGAAGCAAGTTGCCTTTCAGATGTCTGAAGAGTTGGAAGATCTTGGTGAACCTATCATGTTTAACCTGCAGTGACGGGTGATTGGCATAATAACAGCTGAGTGACAGCCGTTTGGCTGGGAGTTCAAACCTCAACATGATGAGCCATAGCAGGATCATAGTTTGATTTGCTGTGGCCATGAAGTCTGAATCACCGAATACAGAGGCAGAGGCAAGGGTGACAGCTGGTAGCCATTCTTGTCAATGAAGTTGTGACGGTTGAGATGTACAAGTAACTAGAGCCTGCTAATTTCATAGACTCTGAGCCAAGTGCTTAGTGTCAAAACCACCTATGGTCAATGATGCAAATGGTTGTGAAAAGTCCCTCATCAACAGCAGGGCTCTCCCCATCAGACTGTTTCCCCCGATGGATTAGAAGCAGATTGGATCTTGCTTTCTAGGAATAGATCGAGTTTGAAGAAAAGGAGGCCTTATTTTTAAAAATTCTAGTAACTTCTTAAAAGTCAAATGTATTAAGTATAATTTACATGCAGTAAAATTCAGTTTGATAAAACTGGATCCCCTCTGCAATCAAGAAAAAGAACATTTCCAAAAAGTTTGCTTATGCCCTTCCTGACGCCACCCCCGCTCACCCTCAGCCCGATGACCACTAATGGGTTTTCTGTCCTATAGTCTTGCCTCTTCCAGTCTTGTCCCTATAGTCTTGACTCTGTAAATGGAGTCATACGATTTGAAACTTTTAAGTCTGGCTTTGTTCACTTCGTATAATGCTTCTGAGATTCATCTGAATGTTGTGTTTATCAGTAGTTCATCTATTTTCATTGCTGAGCAGAATTTCAGTGTATGGATGTGCCACAATTTTATTCATTTACCAGCTGAAGGACATTTGGATTGTTTCCAGTTCTTGGTGATTATAATGCTACAAACATTTAGAGCATTTTCCTTTTAAGTAAAATATATAAGAAAGTAAATAACTTTGTTTCACCGGAAACCAGAACTGTAGGAGCCAGAATGATCCTAGAGGTGGGAGTTGTTTTCTTCTTGATGAGCTGACAGAGTTATTTTATACTTTGCAAAGCAATTTATAGTCTATTCAAAGCACTTTCACTCACCTTGCTTCCCATAATTATTATAGTAACCCTGAGAAGTAGGCTAGGAATCTTGCTTCATTTTATAGATGGAAGCTAGGAAATCTCCTATAATCCAGACTTCCTAATCCTTATTTGCTGTCCTTCCCTCCAAACATTTCTCAACATCCTGTCTGTGCAGAACATTCTGCTAGGTTCTTTTGAGGTACCCACAAAAATTTTTTTCCCATCAAGAGGGAACAGTCTTACATGGAATCAAACTGACCCCCAACTGGCCCAGGCTTGAGAGGAGTACAAAACCGGGCCAATTAACACAGCCACAAGAAACGAACAGTCTTTGAAGCCACCGGAAGCAGGTAGGACGTAAATTTTAAGAAAGAAATCCAACCTGAAGCTGGTGAGAGTCAGACGAGAATGGATTGACGGTTCCTAGATGAGCAGAGGGAAGGGGAATTCCCCAGACAATGCTGTTCCAGGACAAGCAAGAAACTGATTTCCAGGATAATGGAAAATTTCCCTCCTTGGCTTCCAAGTTACCAGGAAAACAGTTACCAGGCAAGATTTTCTTTGAACTCAGTCAAAGTTTAACTGGGATAATGACTGGAATTAAGTACTGGATAATCAAAGTGGAAAATGCTTTCAGAGTCCTGGAATTGCTAGACTTGTTTTGTGTGGTAGAGATGGAGGCCAGGATTTTTTATAAGGCTGTAGGAAAAAAAGTGTCAATGAGATTCTATTCTTTAAGAATCCAACTTTCTTGGTGCTGCTTTTGGTGGCATTTGCCTGTCAGACCTCCCACAAGTTGGCCTCTTTATCCTTTATAGTCTGATAAGATGGCTGATGACCAGCTGTCAGTCCAAGCCAGAAACCACACTGGCTCCTTGTGAAATCTGCCAGCAGCAGTTAGGAGGGGAAGCCTGGGCTTTTGTGCCTCATCTGCATGCGCCTTCTCTGCCAGATACAGTAGGTGCCCTTTGCCAGACCCATTATGAGGGCAGGAACATCTACCCAGCCTAGATCACCAACCAGGAAATCCACCAGGACAGTGTCTCTGCTGAAACAATGCCTGATCTGTCTTCTGGGTAGGTCACTAAATGCCAAGCCGGACCGCAGCCTTTTTCCACAGCAGCGAATCTGTGGCACCATTAGAGGCCCAAGCACATGAAAGAATGTACAAAGATCTGATTTTTTACTTCCATTTATAAAGGGGAAAAAAAGGAAACAGGGATTATGATTTTTAAATGTTTAAATAAATGACCTGCACTCTGTTATATTTGGGAGTTCAGACCTTGGAACAAAATTTTGTGCTTGGGTTTGAATCCTGGCTCTGGCCCTCTACAGCTGTGTGACTTCGGGCAGTCATTTAACTTTCTCTTGTCTCAATTTCCTCAGATGTAAAATGGGAATAAAATAGTCACTCTCTTTTAGGATTACTATGAGGATTAAATGAGTTAATGTTTGTAAAGGGCTGGGAACAATGCATAGAACATAATAATCCATATGTATAATAATGTTTGTTAAATAAAAATAACTGAGCTTTTCTTACCTCTTCTTCCCACCCAGTTTTTTCCTGCACCTCCCGGCCAAATCAAGCTGAAAGTACATACCTTTCAGCTTGAGTTTTTCCTTCTCTTTCTTCTAATTTCAAACCTTAACATCTGCCGTTCCACTCCCCAACCCCAACATTAGATTCCTAGGGCTGCCATAGCAAATTCCCACAAACTCTGTAGCTTAAAACAACTGAAACTTCTTCTGTCACAGTTCTGGAGGCTGGAAGTCCATCAAGGTGTCAGCAACATCAGTTTCTACTGGAGGTTCTGAGAGAGGGTCTGTTCCGAGTCTCTCTCCTGTCTTCTCTTGGTTCCTGGCAATCCTTGGCCTTCCTCGATTTGTAGACCATCCCTCCACTCGTAGATTCTATTGTCATATGCATTCTCCCTGAGTCTCTCTGTGTTTTCATATGGTCTGCTTATAAGGACCCAGTCATTGGCTTCAGGACCCACCTTAATCCAGCACGACCTCATTTTTAATTAACTAACTGCATCTGTAAAACCCTGTTTCCAACTAAGGCCACATTCTAAGGCTCTGAATGGACATGGATTTGGGGATATCACTAGTCAAATCAACATACTCCCTTACAAGTTTCAGGTGCTTTCATCTTTTTTTTTTTTTTTGAGATGGAGTCCTGCTCTGTCACCAGGCTAGAGTGCAGTGATGCGATCTCAGCTCACTGCAACCTCCACCTCCCGGGTTCAAGCAGTTCTCTTGCCTCAGCTTCCCAAGTAGCTGGAACTACAGGCGCGTACCACCATGCCCAGCTAATTTTTGTATTTTTAGTAGAGATGGGGTTTCACCATGTTGGCCAGGCTGGTCTCAATCTCTTGACCTTGTGATCTACCCACCTTGGCCTCCCGAAGTGCTGGGATTATAAGCGTGAGCCGCCGCGCCCGGCCTATTTCATATCTTTAATGTCTTTTTCTTACTTTCTGTATTAGAATGCAGGCTTCTTGAACGAAGGGCTTACATCTTTTTAAATTTACTTTGAGGCAGCTGGAAATGTTTACTTGGCCACTTGAAAGGAATGGAGAGACAAGGATGACACCAAGCTGGGTATGGAAAAGTGATGCACGAGATGGAGGAGTCAACCAGGAGGGAGAAAGGCAGGATTTAAGAAAATCCTATGTGAGTTAATAATAAAGGAGAAAGGTCAGAGATACCAAGTATTCTAATATGGTGCATCTGGAAGCACTGCTGCCAGAAATAGAAATAGCCAAAGCCAGAAGGAAGGTGCAGGAAGTGAGAACAAGGTCTAGGTAAGAGGCTAGGAAAAAATGAGATGGGGACGGAGTTAGGGTTGACTGCCTCTGGGTAGAACCAGAAAAACATCTCCTCCATGAGGAGAAGGAGTCCTGCTGCCGGTGTCGTTTCTATCTAACGTCAAGAGATCCAGATAACTGAGGTAAAAGACGTTGGAACATCTTCATCCCCTCGCAACCTTGAGGTCATGGAGAATGGAAGAAGAGATGTGACAGCTGGGGAAATCCCTGGTGGAGACATGATGTTGGAGAATCTAACAGGAAGTAAGCTGACTGGACAATGAGAAGCTGCAACGTGACATTCCTCAAGAGAATATAGTGTGTAGTCTGTCTTCTTCCTAACGGCATAATAAAGGTCTATGATCAGGGCTGCAGGACGGCAGGAAGGGAAGGGTACTCCCAAGAGGCAGAGGTGTGGAGGAGAAAAAGGAGCAGCTTCCAGGGAGACAGCTCACCCTTCTTTTTATTTTCCTGGTAGTGGCAACTGAAAGAACAGGAAAGCTCTCCAGTGATCCAACCAAGAGTCCTGGCCAGGTGCACTCATGACCTCTGTTTGTCACCGAGTTTCCCTATTTGACTAATATCATCAGTGAGACAGAGTTTCTCCAAATTACCCAGTGTCACCCAGCTAATAGAGAATCTATCCAGAACAGTTAGTTCTCCTGTTTCTTACTATTGTGCCCTTTTTCTACTACGCTGTATTAAATCTTAAAAATAAGCACCAAGTCCATAGGTGAGATGAATCACCTTGGTGCCTTGAACCATAAAAGTGTGGATTTTCCTAGTCGACTTGGATCACCCAATTTGGTAATTCATCTAGGTGTGGAAGCATGACCTTGAGAAAATCCTTTTGTTTCATTCCACAGGGGACACTTCAAACCAAAGCAGTGGGCCGCATTCCCCCATCACAGTGGGCACCAGGGGAAGTGCCGAGGTTCAAGACTGCACCGAGTCTGGTGACCATAAAGGTGAAGTCATTTGAGGTTTGAAATGGGTGTTCTAAATTCAGGGGCATTCCAGAGAAGGTTCCAAAGCTGGAAGTGATCACCTGTTATAGAAAGACCTTCTGTCCACCATTCTTTTTCCTTTTTCTTTCTTTCTTTTTTTTTTTGAGATGGAGTCTCACCCTGTCACCCAGGGAGTGCAGTGGCATAATCTCTGCTCACTGCAACCTATGCCTCCTGGGTTCAGGTGATTCTCCTGCCTCACCCGCCCAAATTGCTGGGATTACAGGTGCGCGCCACCACACCCAGCTAATTTTTGTATTTTTAGTAGAGATGGGGTTTCACCATGCTGGCTAGGATGGTCTTGATCTCTTGACCTTGTGATCCACCCGCCTTGGCCTCCCAAAGTGCTGGGATTACAGGTATGAGCAACCGTGCCTGGCCTCTTTCATTTTTCTATAGGTGACAGCAATTAAATTTAAGGCCAACCTTGCAGAGGACTCTGAAAGGTGATTTTTACAGAACGGAAGAGAATAGACAGGGATAAGCTCAGCTCCTCTGCAGCTGCCCCTCTACCTCCTTCCATGTTCTCTGGGACACTGGTCTAGTTGCAGCAATCCTTACCAATGGCTTCTTTGTAACCCATCCTCTTGGGGCATACTCTGACATGTTTGTATGAGATTTACCTTAAGACTGAGGAAAGTTTAGTGTCTTGGGAAGATCTTTCTATGATCCAAAACCTGGTATGTATATCTCAGACTGATTGAGAACATTCATGGAAGGAAGAGGTACTGTGGCCAAGAAGTGAAAATGTGGGTTTCTGGTCTCAGTCCTCCACCAATTAATATCCCTAAGCTCCAGTCATGGTCACATGAGAGAAGTGGACTACATCAGTGGTTTCCAAACATTTAAAAAATATTACAGTCTCACCTGTTTGAATTTTGAAGGTCCCTGGACTTCCGCTTGAGAGAATATGATTTTTGAAGCATGGTCTTTAATGACAACACCTGCATTTGATGGAAAGCGAGGATTTTGTGGTAGAATTTATAGTTACAGTTTATCTGCCAGGCCCAGCGCCACTGCCCAATGTGGAGGCAGAGAGACTCTGGGTACTTACTTCAGACTCCTTTGGAATCTCTCAGCCTGTTTCCAGCAAATACAGAACTGGAACTTTACCCTGGGGCAAGGAGGTTAGGGAGTAGGAGAAAAAGAGAAGTAGCAGGGTCCAGGAGAGCATCAGTGTTTCATGAACTTGAGGAGACTTGGGGATGGAGACAGTAAGAGCGTTTTCATGTTCAAAAGAAGGGTATCTAGTTGTTACTGACCTAGGGTGCAGACCACTGTTTCCCCCTAGAAGTCACAAATAGGAGATCCTCCAGTATAGGAAGTCACAAATAGGAGGTCTTCCAAAGATGTGTTATGTTTGACCAGGCACACTGCTTTTTTTAAAAAAATTTCAGCCTGAATGACTTTAAGTGGGGTAGGAAATCTCTGGTTCATCACAAACTTCCTGATTCCCCATCTTCTTTGCCTGATACTTCACACATTTGTATTTCTTCGTAAGTGGCCCCAAAGGCATTTTCAACACCTGCTAATGGTGTTCTGTTTTTTTTTGTTTTTTCTTTTTTTCCTGACAGTCAAATGCTTTTCCATCTTACTTCAAAACAGTCTGGTAAAGACTTCACTAATATGTCTCCTTGAAACATAAGAATGGCTCATAGAAGTCAGATTTTGGAAGGATTCAGCTATTCCAGAACTGCACTCCAAGTGCCCCTTTACTTCATTAAACCAGAAACACTTAGGGACCCTCCCTGATGAGAAAGGTGACCCATCTCTAGAAAAGCTTCTATTGTCATAACTGCACATTCCCCAAGTATGGCATTTTATGAATCGTTCTACTATTCAAGTTCATAACTTTATTTTTCAGCCATGTCACTGGTCTAATTCCTTTAACTTAACCTATTCATACACTTCAAAGGAGTCATCTTATTTCTCTTTTATATCTCCATTTCTCCAATCTCCTTGTTCAGCAAGTCATTTGCCAGAGAGAAGCCAGGTGATTCTAACTGCCACCAGATCATACTGAAAAGTATTTGACAATTTTGGATGCTTCTTTGAACTCAATGTTTGATCATCTTATTTATTTCTTAAGTTTGGCCCAAATCCTTCTCCCTGCTCTTCAGCAAAGCTGGAGGATGGAGGAGCAGATTCCCTCTAAGCTTTATTCAGAATATTCTGTAAGTTTCTGGCTTTATACTTCAAATAACTCTTAAAAATCAATATTTTGATGACTGAAGTGTAAATTAATAAGAAGCATGGAATAAGTTTTCACTTCGATTACATGGACAGAAATTCTCTGGGAAGCCCCGCAAAGCAGCTGTGAGCATTTGCTGAGCAAGGTAAAGATGGTACTTCCTGTCATTCTGGTCTTGGACATGGTACCTTCATAAGGAGAGTCCCAAACCAAAAGAGATTTTATAGGTTTTTTCCCCATATCTCTTTGAGCTTTTTTCTTCTTTGGATTGCTGTTGCTCCTTATTATTTTTTTAGACTGAGGATCTCAAAATAGGTACAGACAAAAGCTTGCAATCTGAGCTTTCCACAGGAGAATATCATTTGGACTTTGATCAGTGGTAGCTCTTGGTGCTTCTGAGTTGGGCCAGAGAAGAAGATTAAAAATTATTTGTGGTGGTTTTTCCCTTCTTAACAGGGGAACAGAAAGATGTTTGTATCTCTGAAGTGGGTTCCCTTTTTTCCTTTTATGTCAGTTATTGCTTTTATGTTGCTTATCACAGTATTACAAGTGAGCGTGGGCCAAACAGTGGTTTAGAATCTCCAAGAGGGGAAAACCTGCCTGGTGCTCTAACTGAAGGATTTTTATCGTCCAAGAAAAGGCAACGGGGGGAGGGGAGGGAATTAGTTAATGAAATTCTAACAGACTGTGGCTATTTTTCTTGATTTCTATTTTTTTCTTCTTTCAATATTGTTGTTTCACTGGCCATAATGTTTTGTGCATGCGTGTGTGTGTGTGTGTAAAAATAAAAATGTATTAATGTCTCACTTCAATTTTTCTCTTCATCCTTTTGGTGTTTATAGCAATATTAATAAAAGCAATAACAGATGTTTTTATCCACCACCTTAGCTCAAAGAATTGCATTTATTCCACACAAGAAATATTTATGCTACGGAACCAAACTAACAATTTAAAATCAGCACATGTTCTTTCTAGAACAGGCAACACAAAAACAAGTGACTTCTATATTTTGTATTTATTTTTCTACACTCCATTTCTATCATGTATTCTGTCATTATAACATCAGCCATGTATTCATCTTCCACAATAAGTCACGATTCCCAAATTTATAGATTATCTTTGTTGCTTATATTTCAGCTTGGATGGTTCTAGGTTATCTAAAATAAGGGTGGCAAATAGGTGTGCAGTCTCCTTCCCACCCTAATTAATTGGCAGTGACTGCTTGGAACAGTGGTTCTCAGCCTTGGCAACATACTAAAATTGTCTAGGGAGCTTTTAATAATTGATGGCAGCTCCCATCCCAGATCAATATCAGAATCTCTAGGGGCTGGTCCTAGGCATGTTTAAAATCTTTCTGGGTGTTTGAAATGTACAGCCAGGATTAAGACTCACTGATCTGGAAGCAGGGTTTCTCAAAATTTAACATGGATTAAGGTCATCTGGAGAGCTTGGTAAAAACGCAGATTCCCAGAACTTACCTGTAGAGTCTCTGATTCACAAAGTCTGAAGTTGGGTCCGAGAACGTTCATTTCTAATAAGTTTCCGGGTGATGTTGATTGATGCTCCTTGGGAGTCCACGCTGCCAACTTTGACAACCACTGATGTGAAGCGTTCAGAAGGAACTTGAGGTTGAATTAAAGTTCAATGGAAAAGAAGGCCATGTTTGAGTAGCCGTGGTCACTGGAAGGAAGAATTGTATTTGTTACCCTCATTCTTGAGAAACTCATCAATAAACGGTCCTCAATCAAAATGTGGAAATGGGTTACTCCTGGGATGATTCCCTGTGTACAGTTAATCCTACCCACATCATCACATTTTGTTCCTTGACCTACTATCCACATCAGCAGGCAGCCTAGCCAGAACTGGAAACTGGTCTGCTGACTACTCTGTCCAGCACAGTGTTGTTCCAGCTATTGTTTACTGCTTCTGCTGGGAGCCACATCACTTGGAGCCTCTAATCTGTTATATCTATTGCCAGAAAGACGTAGTTTGTTTTCCTATAAGCATGAAAACAGTTTGCTGGCAGGGACCAAGCACGGAACGAGAACTGGAATCCTAGAACAGCTAAATTTTAATGACATATTCTAGAAAAAGGCTATAGAAAGTCAGGGAGTGGTATGAGGGAAGGGAGAGAAGGGCCTCAGAGAGTGGAGATGGGCACCAAAACCTAACCCTGCCTACTTCTGAACATATTCTTAGCCCTCCTTTCTTTTCTCTTAGTTCCCCAGGGCTCTGCAGATCATAGAAGCCATCCACAAGCAGAATTCAACAGTGGCCATGCACAGACTTCAAGCAACTCTCCTGCTGTCACAGAGAAAAATGGGTGAGTCCTGTCTGTAAGGTTCCCTGTTGTAAACTCAGGTGCTCCATTCCAGTGGCTAATGAAATGATAGTGGACAATGAAACAGACATATTTTTACCATGATTATATTTTAGTGAGCCACAGAGTGTGGAACCAAAAAGTGTTTCCATCACATTCTCCCATGTCATGGGCAAAATCTTTATTCTGCAGATCAAACTGAACACAATCCTACTTTTTGGGTTCTCTTCATGATTAAATCTATACTTAGCTTTATTAGGTTAAACATCCTCCTCAGGCCAGGCACAGTGGCTCAACGCCTGTATTCCCAGCACTTTGGGAGGCTGAGGCTGGTGGATCACCTGAGGTCAGGAGTTTGAGACCAGCCTGACCAACAAGCAGAAACCCGTCTCCACTAAAAAATGCAAAATTAGCTGGGCATGGTGGCACATGCTTATAATCCCAGCTACTCAGGAGGCTGAGGCAGAAGAATCACTTGAACCTGGGAAGTGGAGGTTGCAGTGAGCTGAGATTGCCCCATTGTAATCCAGCCTGGGCAACAAGAGTGACACCCCATCTCAAAAAAAAAAAAAAAAAAATCTCCCCCCCGGATATTTAGCAATGTCTGGAGACATTTTTGGTTGTCACAACTTTGGGGGGAAGAGTTGGGCTACTGGACTGTAATGAGTAGAAGCCTGTGATGCTGCTAAACTTCTTACAATGCATGACAGCCTCCCTGCAGCAAAGAATTGTCTAGTCTTAAATACCAGTAATCCCAGTTGAGAAACCCTACAGCCAGGCATGGTGTATGTGCCTGTAGACCCAGGTAATTGGGAGGCTGAGGTGGGAGTATCATTTGAGCTCAGGAATTTGAGTCCAGCCCAGGAAATATAGTTAGACTGTCTCTATATTAAAAAAAAAAAGTAGAGAAACCCTAGATTTAAGCTAAAGCAAAAAGAGAGTATCATTTCCTGTTTAGCCACAGGTTTGAGTTGAATATAATTTAAAAGGAGTATAGCAGAGCTTGCCTTTCAGTGATCTCTGAGCTGCTCAAGATGCAGAACCCAATACCCTGGCTAAATGTAGGCTCAAGTCACTTTTAAGTCTAGCCAGGCCAGGCATGGCACCAAGAGCTAGAGACACAAGGAACTCCTGGGCCTGTTCTTCAGGAAGGCCTTTATAACCTGCCTTCTCCCAGATAAGGTTTCCAGACCCCATCACACACATCACCAAGAAGAGGACCCAGCTACAGGAAGGAGTGGACCCTGGCAAAGGGAAGGCCTACGTAGAATGAAACTTACCTTTCTTATTTTCTATTTTCTTCCACATTGATGTTGGGGAACTTCCTGAAAAGTTTTAGTCAAAGATTTCAAGAAAGAAGCAGGTCATTAGAGAGTTCTTCGCATCTTTTCATTTGGAAAAGAGAAAGTCTTAATTTGCAATTTCAAAAAATAATTCTTAATTATGTTTTATTATTTTATTTTTGGAGACCTCTTAATATGTTTGAGACTTGAAAAATTAAATCTCAGTACTTTTCCAGTGGTCTCAAATTGTCATCGGGCTGCTTTTAAAGTAAAGTACTTTAGACTACTTGCCTTAAAAGTCAGAATAGCTCATTTAAGGGCACTTTAGGAAAAAATCCCAATATCTCATATTAGAATAACAAAGTTTACAATTTTCTAATGTGGTAGAAAGATCACTGAGCTTGGGTGGAAGACTTCGTTTCTGATCCTGGCTAACGTTTTCCAATGGTTTGACCTTGGGCAAGTCAGTGAACCAGTTAGAAAATTACTTCAACCCCAGTCTGACTTCCTCAACCTCAACTGCTGTCTGACTTTACTGAGAACATCGGGACAGGGCTCTGAGCTCCTCCACTGCCCTTCTCTTCACCTTAGAATCTCTCCTTATCTTCAGCTGTCCTTCTTTCCTTTGCTCGCATCTGACAGACCCCAGATCCTCTTCCTTGTGCTGTGTTCCTGCCGTCCAGGCCCTACCACTATCAGCACCTCCCTTGCTTGCTCTGGTATCTCTTTCTATTTTGCTTATACCTCCCCCAAGTCCTAACAAAAGCTTGGCCTTGGCCTGTCCTTCCCTCTTTTTACTTTTACCACCAGACTTCCCCCAACTGCTATCCAGGTCCACTGCCTCGTTTTCTTACTAAACCAATCACTTTCTTCTTAATCCTGAAATCTGATTTGTGTCCCTACGGTGTCTCTAAAACTACCCTTGGGAAGCATAGCTCCCAGTTGCTAGAGCTTTATGTTTCATGGGCCAGTTGCTCGGGCTTTATGTTTCAAACAGCATTTAGTTTCATGGGCCGTGCATGCTTTCCTTGAAGAATCCTCCTCCAAAGGGTATCTGTAGTACGGTCTTCTTCAGGTTCTTCCTTAGAGATAGCCTCAGTCTTTGTTTTCTCTAACTCCATCCTTCTGCTCTTCCACTCACCATTAAAATAAAGGCCATTCTCCAAGTCTTAGTTTGTCTCCTTTCTCTACTTCTTCCCACTCACCATTGTGTTCTGGTATCAAGTCTCCGCTGTGTGAGTACGAGTCCCAAGTCTCTGTTTTGAGCTCCATACTCTTACGCCCAACTAATAGTGGACATATATTCCCGATTCACACACCAAGACTTCAACAGAAAAACCCCTGCTAAAGCACCTCCTCCACTGGACCTTCCCACTTCTGTGAGTCACATAAACAGTCTTGTTGCCAGATGTGGTGGCTCATGCCTGTAATCTCAGTACTTTGGGAGGCCAAGGTGGGCAGATCACCTGAGGTCAAGAGTTCGAGACCAGCCTGACCAACAAGGAGAAACCCTGTCTCTACTAAAAATACAAAATTAGCTGGGTGTGGTGGCGCATGCCTGTAATCCCAGCTACTCAGGAGGCTGAGGCAGGGGAATCGCTTGAACCTAGGAGGTGGAGGTTGTGGTGAGCCTAGACTGTGTCTTTGTACTCCAGCCTGGAAGACAGAGCAAAACTCCATCTAAAAAAAAAAAAAAAAAAAAAAAAGCACTGTCTTTTGACCTGGCCTTGAAACCTGGCACAGTCACTCTTGATCCCTACCTCTCACTTAACCTCACTTCCAGTCATTTTCCAAGTACCCTTTCCTGGTCCAGGCCTGCCATTATCTCTTTTTCTTTCTCCTTCTGCCTTTACAGACCAGCTTTCATTTTTTCACACCCGATCAATTGTCCTACAATATATTCTGACTTGTTCAAAGAACTTTAATGGCTTCCTATTTTAGACCAAAAGAGATTTGGACTTCTCAGGCTGCTGTTCCACGCCTCTCGCTCGCTCGCTCGCTCGCTCGCTCCAGTGTGTCCTCCGGTCTCACCTCCACTTCGTCCCTAATACACCTCATGGCTAACCAGAATCAGACTTCTTACTGTTCTGCCAATGCACCTACCTCTCTTCTCTCTGCCCATTCCTTTCTGTTCAGCTCTTGCCTTTTGGTCAAGATACGTTGTCATATCCCTTTCCTCCAGGAAGACCTAGTTCTTCTTAATACTCCTTGAGCTGTCACCCATTTGTAACAGTACTACTCAGAGTGCTGTTTTACCACAGGATAATGAATTTGTGCCCAAATGTAAATCAAGCCACTGCTTTCTTCATTAAGAAAGTCTTGTTACTAAAAAAATCAGCTGAACTAAATGATATACTTGGTGATGAATTGATTTACATTCTGGCACTAGCCTCTCATGTCATTGTGAGTAGTAACAGTTCACAGACGGGGTCCTCATGCCATACTTTGTTGTCTGTCTCTCTGGTACCCTTCATGTTTTGCCTGGTATTGTGGTTGACCTTGAGCTAGCAAGTTAGCTTCTCAACAGTGAGGACTGAGTCTTACTCCTTCTTGTATCCAGTATACACAGTAGCTACTCAATAAGTTTATTGAACTAACTTTCAAAGCCTCTTCTTAGCACTCAGATTTTTATGAGGGAAGTGTTTTTCATCAGTCTTTGGGTAGGGGCAACAATAAGAGGATCCTGAATAACTTACCAAATAACTTATCCTGGCCAGGGTATCCCTGATCCAGGGTCTGGGATTCTGTTTTCCCCTTTATGTTTGTCAATTCCGTGTTCTGTGAATCAACAAGGGCTGAAAGGAAGGAATTCTTGGGCAGAGGGCAGGGTGGGAGTAGGGAGGGGTTTGGGGTGAGCAGAATAAGAAGAGAGCTGGATTGTGTCAATGGTGATGTTCTCAATGGAAGTAACAGGCCTTCAAGCCATAGATTCAAGGATCCATGGGTTGAAGGCCAAGGATCCATGGGTTCCAGGGCTGGGTTAGCCATTCAGGAATGTCAGCAAAGATACCCCTTGCATCTCTTTGCTTTGCTGTTCTCGGCATGTCAGAGATGCCCCCGCTTACGGCCGTGAGGTGGCTGAAACAACACTAAGCATCACTTCCTCACATGGCAATGTCTGGAGCAGGATGGAAGAAATGAATGGATTTCTTCTCAGGAGTCTCTCTCCATTTGCTAGGAGGGAAATCTTTCCCAGAAGTCACTCAGGAGACTTCTCTTGCATATGATTGGCCAGAATTGGCAGTGGTGGTTCTGCAGGGGAGCTGCAAAGGAGGTTGGGAGATTAGGCAAAGAAGAAAGGAAGTGGGAAGCAGCCAACAATGTCTGCCTCAAGAGTGCCGGAGAGACAGGGATAGGACTAGATAGGTACCAGGGAATGATGAAGGGGAGGCAAAATCAGAGGGAGGAGTTCATAAGGAAGATCCATACATGTCAAGAAATATTGCTGCAAATAAGAGCTGCAGGGAAGTGTTGAGATCATTATTTAGATTTATTGCTAGCATTTATTGCTCTGCCAGTTTTTGTTTTTTTGTTTGTTTCCTTGCATTTTATCTCATGTAATTCTCACACCAACCTTTTGGGTTGATGTTACCCACTCCATATTATAGGTAAACTGAACCTGGGGAAGGCTAAGGCAAATAGCTCAGAAACATCATCTCAGAGACCAATACTGGATTGGTTTCAGATCTATCTACACCTGCCCCCCATCAACTAGTCAGG